CAGGTTTACTTATTTTGCAATTTTAACTACACACTTAAATGAACCAATTAGTCACTCAAATGTGTTTTGTAATCATCAAAATCATAGGTACAACATTAATGACCCCCAACGGCTAGTAACGGCTATTTTCGACCATGGGGCTATAAATATGATTGGTAACAGATATGAACAAGTTTAGATAGCATTGTATTGCATATCTTTACCTACCTACTTGAGCTTAAACTTGAGTTTTTGATCTTTGAGTGATCATTGCTTGTAATCCTCTTCTTGTGCTATTAGTGAGTGATCTTGGGGTTGCATTGATTCCTTCAAGAGTGATCTATTGAGAGGATTTGTGGGGTTTACATTGTAAAGGGGTGAGGTTTGAGAGAAATACTCATCTTGTTGTAAAAGGATTGAGTGGCTCCTTTAAGCCACCCTTGTCTTTCTTAGTGAAGAGTGTGGAGGAAATCCTTGGTGAGTGAAGCCAGGGTAGAGGACTAGGCTCCAAGTGATTGGACCGAACCTCTATAAATTCATTGTGCAAGCTCTTCTTCTCTACTCTCTTTAATTTGGGTTTTGTGGTTGAAAAAGGGGAGAATTTTTGGAACTCCAATTCACCCCCCTCTTGGAGTACATTGAGTCAACACTTGCCGCCGGCTTCTTCTCCCCCGCCAGTCCATTCTGTTGGCTGGAAAATTTTTGTATGTGGCAGCCCTTTTAAGGCTTAAATTATCCATTAGTTGCTGAGTTTAACCATGAAATTGTTGCCCCTACACTGCCCGAATGTTTGTTAAATTACGGGGATGAATTCCAGTAGCTTTAGGACAAAATTTAACCATTAATTCAAGTGGAATTTATGTGATTGAGTGTTAATTGACTGCTGTGATTTTTGGAGAGAAAATCCCGTGAAATTAGCTAGTGTTTTGCCCATTTTGGAAATTGCAGTTACTGTTCACAGCACTGTTCACGCACTGTTCACGGATACTGTTCATGCACTAATGGCCAACAATTAACGAGGATTTAAATGTTTAGTTTGTAATATAAGAACAAATTTGGAGATATTTGATCATGGAAGATTGATAGGAATAGCATCGTGATTAGGGGATAGTCATGGTGATTTTACTTTTGAATTCGTGGTACGGTAATTAATTCTGGAATATTTTGATTAGGTTCCTGATCGTTCTCTCAGTTTAGCACCGAGATCGAGTCTTCGGTTTTATGCGAGTGAGGTAAGTAAATTTATGGTAATGCCCGTACAGTTTTTTTTTTTAAAGCATGTTTTGACTTGTTTTGAAGTGGTGGCTAGACTAAACTCGTTTTATACAAAAGTAAGTATGACTGATTTGAAGTGAAATTTTTATGCTTTCCATTAAATTGAGCATGCCTACTTGAAATTTAATTGATTGTCCTGATGATTTGAAAGTGATTGGTGAAGTATGATGTTTCTGTTAACTTCTACCTGTTTTGTCTCCGATGTGGTCATGTTATTAGTGACCTTGCTAGTGGGGGAGTTTACAAACGCTAGCACATGTCGACATGTTATTGATAGAACCGGTTCGTTTCTGTTATCCTGCTAGTGGGATTATACACTAATAAATCGTGTGCCTATCAGTGGGAGGTTTATAACACTAGCCATGACCTATAGAGGAGACGTCTATTTTGTTCCGTACTCGTACCTGTTTTCGTGATTATACTAGTTGGCATGCTATAAGTTTAATTAAGGGCTATCCATATTTTGCTTACTGAGTTTATCTCATAGTTTTTCCTTATCCACCATTTCAGGAAGCGAAACCGAGGACGGGGAAATCACGGGAAGTGACGAGTTAGAAGGCTAGCCATTTCGAGATTGATATAGGTTTTAGAAATAAATCATGCTTTTGTAAGATAGATTTTACCTTGAATTTATGAGATTAAAACAGATTTCGGTCATTAGATCAATTACTTGGATTCAAGTCATTTTGGATATAGAAATAAATTGAGATGTTTTATTTAAGTTATAGAGTGGTATCAGATTGTGATATGATTAAGTTCCGAGCCTTGTGCATTTGTGGGACCTGTCTCACGAGTGCACGGCGTTTGTCGCACCTCAGATTTGGGTTCCGGGGCATGACAGATTTAGTGGTATCAGAGCTTAGGTTTAAATTAAGAGCTTAGGATTAAATTAAGCACCTCCAGATTGAGTGGCATCAGAGCTTAGATTTAATTAAATACCTAAGTTTAATTGAATACTTAGGATTTGTTTAGAATTTGGCTGGCCAATGAATTTTAGAACCGTGGTGAGATGAGTGATGGGGTTATATAAGGGACGATTCTGATTTGTGTTGCCTGAATTTTCTAATCCATTTTGATGAGATGGTAATCTGATTGTTCTTGTTTCCTACCTTCATACCCTGTGTAGATTCATGAAATTAATCTTGTCCGTCATGTTCTTAAGACCTTGTTTTGAAACTTGGTCGTTTTCTGATAGTCCACACTTGTTTAGACTTGTTCCTTGAATAGAATTTTTGTATGCTCTTTTGTCACCATTGTAAAATCTAGATAGTTGTAGAGATCTTTTGTTATTGATCCTGTTGGTATCTGCAGTATAGCTAGTTGAGAAATTTGTTATGTTTGTCATATGACTGGTGGAAGATGGGCAACCCTCTACTTTGTAAGAGATTTAAGGCTATTTTAGAAAATGTTGTGTGTTTTGTAGCTGCGCTTTAGGAGCTGGATAACTTGGTAATTTCGCTGCTCATTATCTTTCTTAAAGTCTTATAGTGAAACTTCACTTTTTCCATTTGGAGCTTCATGGTCTTTTCATGTGGCTCATTTTTCTATATTGGTTAACCAAAAACAATGATCAATTCAATTGAAATTGCTGTGTTTTTGTGAAGATTGGCAAGCTATCATAAATTTAAACTCTCTATTGTTGCCAATCTCTACATTCTTGATACTTGAAATTGCTTGAAACTCCTAAAATCTGTCTTGAATCTTTCTTGACATTGCTTTGTACTTGTTCTTGAAACTGAAATCCATAAATGGATAATGATTATTGAAATCCTCATTATCTTGATTCTTGCCTAAAATTAATTCTTGCATTGTTCTTGGAATCTATTTTGAATTATCCTTGAAAACCATTCTTGTCCTGATCCTTGCTCTTGTTCAAATTTTGTATACTGCTCTTGCTCAAATCTTACATATTCTACTAGTTCTTGTTTTAGTATACCTGTTGATCTTCTTGATTTTTTTTGTTTATATGGACACCTTCTTAGGAGGGGTGATGATTATTAGAAAATACCTATATGAGGCATCCTAATTCTTGTCTCTTGCAAGTGTTAGTCTCTGTATCCTTGATGTCTTAGCTTTGGCTTGACTCTAGGATGTCTAGGATGACTTGATTATAAATCTGCTTAGCCTCCATGGGCTACGAGGTGAAGGGGTAGTCTTTGAAGTACTTGATGCCCTAGAGTTTTGTTCCAAGAGAAATGGTTCTTTTATCTAGCTGCTTTGATTTTTGTTTGCCCTTTTAATTAGAAGACAGTAATCTTCTAAGCATCTTGATCCCAGCCATTGCTTTGTTCTGTTAATTAATTCGTGTTACTTGGGATGTTAGATCTTGACATCCTGGTTATATCTGCTCTTGAATCCTTGTTCTCATTGTCATTATTGAAATCTCTTTTGTGGGCCTAATCCTTGAATTTTATTGCTTGTTTCATGGTTAACTCTTGTCTCTCAATTTTGACTGCTTGGTTAATTTTGATCTTGATTCTTGGTGAATGCCGTTTTGTTGCTGAAATTTTTGAGGCATTCTACCTTGCACTCTTATGTTCCAGTATTCTTCCAAGCATTCATATTTTCCACTGATTTTATTTTGATGCCATTATGGAAATTTCACATGTCATTTGATGGGTCTAGCTTTTAACTCTTGTTAATTGCTAAAATCTATCTCTTGATTCCAGTTGTTTTTGTTAAACATGACCTTACTTATTGGTTAACCTTGTTGTGGTAGAATTTATAAGGCATCCATGCACTTGTTCATTCATTCATGATCCATATATCCATTGGATGCTTATCCGTCTTTGATAGAGTTCAAAATTTTGTTGTACTTATCTTTAAATTCATGCCATTCTTTGCTAACTCATTGTTGTGTTGGGTTCATAGCGTAACCCCACAATTGTTCTTTTGTAACCTTGGTAGGATTTATTTTTATTTCTTGTGCTTCCCATACCACCCCAACCTCTAGTAGCTTGTTTCATGGTAAATCCTGTTAAGTAGTTAGTGTTCTGCTTTTATGATTAGTTGTGGTTTGATATCAGAGTGGCGCGACGGAAGCGTAGTAGGCTAGGTTCTAATCATGGAAAGTTGGTGGAGCATTTGTTTTGCCTTGGATTGGGTGAAGCCATTCACCACTTGAAATGATCCTCAATTTGAGTTGTGGGGACAAAACTCCTTTTTATGAGGGGTGGATGTAATACCCCAAAAATTTCTAGAATAAATAAGTGAGTTAGGGACTAACTTGTGAGAAAATATTATTTGGGGCTTGATGGCCAACATTTTGAAAGTTGAGGGACTCAAAAGAGGAAAGAATTTGGATAAGGACAGGGTATTTTTTCTTCTTTCTTCTTCTTCAGCCCACGCATCTGCTCTTCTTTTCTTCTCCCCTGCAGCCGAAGGCCCCCAAGCCCGACAGCCTCCTCTTGAAAAACCAGTGAGAAAGCTTGGTTTTTCCCTTCTTTTCTTGTCCAAGAACAAGATTTAGGAGCTTAGAAACCCTCCCTAAAGCAAGGAATTCCAGATCTGCTCGGTTTCTCCCCCTCCCCTGTCCGTGAGCTACAGCTGGTGATGCGAAATTCTGGGCTTTTTTCGGTAAGAACAGCCATGATTTCATCCTTTTAGCTTTGATTTAAGTTGGATTACTCTAAGTTCCTCTTGTTCCTTCAATTTTGGATGGTTCCCGTGAGTCCCCTGCAGCTTGCCGCCGGCTTCTTCTCCCCCTCCAGGTCCGGTTCTGCTGGCTGGAAAATTTTGGTATGTGTCAGCCCTTTTAAGGCTTAAATTATCCATTAGTTGCTGAGTTTAACCATGAAATTGTTGCCCCTGCACTGCCCGAATGTTTGCTAAATTACGGGGATGAATTCCGGTAGCTTTAGGACAAAATTTAAGCATTAATTCAAGTGGAATTTATGTGATTGAGTGTTAATTGACTGCTGTGATTTTTGGAGAGAAAATCCCGTGAAATTAGCTAGTGTTTTGCCAATTTTGGAAAGTGCAGTTACTGTTCACGCACTGTTCACAGAACTGTTCACGCACTAATGACTAACAATTAACGAGGATTTAAATGTTTAGTTTGTAATATAAGAACAAATTTAGAGATATTTGATCATGGGAGATTGATAGGAATAGCATCGTGATTAGGGGATAGTCATGGTGATTTTACTTTTGAATCCGTAGTACGGTAATTAATTCTGGAATATTTTGATTAGGTTCCTGATCGTTCTCTTAGTTTAGCACCGAGATTGAGTCTTTGGTTTTATGCGAGTGAGGTAAGTAAATTTATGGTAATGCCCGTATAGTTTTTTTTTTAAAAGTATGTTTTGACTTGTTTTGAAGTGGTGGCTAAACTAAACTCGTTTTATACAAAAGTAAGTATGATTGATTTGAAGTGAAATTTTTATGCTTTCCATTAAATTGAGCATGCCTACTTGAAATTTAATTGATTGTCCTGATGATTTGAAAGTGATTGGTAAAGTATGATTTTTCTGTTAACTTCTGCCTGTTTTGTCTCCGATGTGGTCATGTTATTAGTGACCTTGCTAGTGGGGGAGTTTATAAACGCTAGCACATGTCGACATGTTATTGATAGAGCCGATTCGTTTCTGTTATCCTGCTAGTGGGATTATACACTAGTAAATCGTGTGCCTATTAGTGGGAGGTTTATAACACTGGCCATGACCTATAGAGGAGATGTCTATTTCATTCTGTACTCATACCTGTTTTCGTGATTATACTGTTTGGCATGCTATAGGTTTAATTAAGGGCTATCCATATTTTGCTTACTGAGTTTATCTCATAGTTTTTCCTTGTCCACCATTTCAGGAAACGAAACCGAGGACGAGGAAACCACGGGAAGTGACGAGTTAGAAGGCTAGCCATTTCGAGATTGATATAGGTTTTAGAAATAAATCATACTTTTGTAAGATAGATTTTACCTTGAATTTATCAGATCAAAATAGATTTCGGTCATTAGATCAATTACTTGGATTCAAGTCATTTTGGATATAGAAATAAATTGAGATGCTTGATTTAAGTTATGGAGTGGTATTAGATTGTGATATGATTAAGTTCCGAGCCTTGTGCATTTGTGGGACTCGTCTCACGAGTGCACGGCGTTTGTCGCGCCTCGGATTTGGGTTTTGGGGCGTGACAAATATAATAGTGGATTAGATTTGTTTGAAAATTTTCACACTTGATTAAATTGGTTTAGTCTTAAAAATGTTAAAATTCGATCCAATCCACACCACAAACACCCTTACCCCAAGCACTCTCTCACTCTTGAAAGAGTAATAAACACAATTGCCCGCCTAGATGATTGAATAACAATGACGAAGCACAAAGAATAAGGTTGAAATCTTGCAAGGTTTTCTCAAGAATACGTTAGGGTTTTGCTTAGTTCTTGCAGCCTTATTTAGAGTTTCTTTTTATACCCTCATATTTAAATCCAAGTCAAACTAGTCATTATAGCCTAGAATGGAAAGTCCTCAATTTCCTTTAATTTTAGGATTTCGCAAAGGTTTTGGAACTTGTTGATATGTTCTGGAACTTCTTGACTTTCCTACATCTGCAAGAAGGTCAAAGAACAAAAATGTTCTAGAACAATGTATGGAGTTTGGAACTTATATAATCAACTATTAACGTATGTTTTGAAGCTTTTTTAATCTCACATATAACTTTGGAAGGTTAGAGAGCAATAATGTTCTGAAACTTAAAATCAAGTTTTGAAACTTTATGACAAATTCAAATAATTAATTTGGAAAATCTTCATACAATGAAATTCTTACATATGAAACTTTAAATCGTGCAAAATTTGAAAAAATTATTGGGTGTGATATTCAAATATGACCACAATATTTAGCCTAGGAAATATATTAAAGATGAAATCAAATATCTTTGTAAAGGAAAATGTAAATTCCTCCATGAATTTGTTTCCAAAGGTAAAGATAAAAACCTTTAATTCTAAATATACCACTAAGAAATAAGAATGTAAAAGAGGTGTAAATTTCAAGTTCCCAAAAACATAAATTCTTAACAGTTCAGTTTACATTTGATGTTGTAATCATCCAAAATTAAGAACAAAATTCTCTAGTTCCCATCTCCTTTCTTCTCAAATTTTATTCTCATCTCATGTGGTCAGTCTTCAAAACCAATCTTGTTTTTATTGCCAAGTAATCAAGGTTTTTCTTAGATTGAAACTCTTGAATAAAGTACCATTTTCCAATTCTGCACTGAGTTTCTAGTTTGTAGATTTCTTTATCATATATATTTAATTTATGATTGGCTATATTTTTTGTTACATTGATTTTGGTAAAATGCCCAAAATCATTTGATGAAATGTCGAAGCTAAATTTTGTCTTCTTGTGGGAATTTCCACAGTTCTTTTTTTTTTTTCAACAATATGATGACATTCATGTAATTTGTGCACCAAATGAGGAAGATGGGGATGGGGACTTGGGTTTGAGAGCTTACTCATTGTGGGAATTTCTACGCTAGTAGAGATCCTTATAATATGATTGTGATGTCTCATTGTGCTTTATAACATTAGAAATTGATTAACAGTGTACTATGATATAATTTTCTATGCTTGAAGATGATGTTGATTTCAAATTAGCCTCACAGATTTTAAATTTTGTCGAATCAGTCATTCCACTTTAGTGTATTTTTTATTCTAGTTGTGCGTCTTTGATGTTGTCCAAATGAGTTTTAAAATTTTCAAGAATTTACAACTTCATTTAACTAATTATTTTAGAGTTAAATACTTAATTAAGATTTAAAGAATCAGTAAGTTGAATTAAAACTCTAATGTTAAAATATGCAATTGTGTTTTATACAAAGGATTGTAAGGTGTACATATGCCTTTCTTCACTCTTAACTAAACTCCCGAATCTTGATCTTTGCATAAACTATTTTAGGTGACTTGTCCCTTTTTTCAATCTTTAATAATAATTAATAATTTTAATTTTTAAGTGGGACGTCAATAATGAGTCTTGATGATCTCAAGTTTAAAGGTCACTTATCCTCACATGTCATACCCTGTAGAGTTCTCATAGAGTCACTCACATATGGCACATGCCTTCATGAGAAGAAAGTCGTATTGCTTAGTAAAGTATTACATATGATAGTCTTTATATCACTGAAATGGAATTTCAATGATAAACCACTATGAGATAATTTAAAAATATTATTATTATATCGTATGATTTTCACTAATAACAATAACTATTATTACCTTTTAATACAGTAAGCATTTTAAATATTTGATTGAAATTTAACATGTACAAAAGAGTAACAGTTAATGTCTAATAAAAAATGTCATAAATATGATAAGCATAATTATAAGTACATAAAATTATATTGCCAATCTAATTGACTCATAAGGCCTACTTTTAACACTGTTGGGCAAGAAATTGATGTAAGGAAAAGTAGAAAAGTTGTCAAATGAGTTTTATATAAAAAAAATTAGAATTTTTTTTTAGAAAGAGTAAGAAAAAAAGTTTGCTAGTAGAAATTGTGTCAAAAAAATAAATGTTAAACATATCACCTTTATCTTGTTTTTGTTTTGATATTAAAATTTAAAAGTTTCAATAACCCTAAAAATTTAAATGAGGAAAATTTCAACTTTCCTCACAAACGCCCTTACAGAGTTATAGAACATGTGACAATGGTGAAGCTAGAAATTGATTTTAAAGAAGGCAACCGCTATTTAGGCTTCTATATATTCAAAATGAATTTTATAAGAATTGAGATTTTGAATGAGATTAAGAATCATATTAAACCAAAATTTTTTGTCATATATATACACCCATAAAATTATGTTATATATGTGTTTAAATTTCAATTATTAACGAAATCATTATTACAAAATACTAATTTATATATTTCAAATAATAATACAAATAAGATGTTGAAAGAAATTGGCATCTTAATTCTTGGTTAATTTTATGGTATAGCCTTTAGTTGGGACATTATAACACAAATTTTTAAAAAATAAGTTATATCATGATAGCCATGTTATATAAACATAAAATTATCAAAAATAAAAGTTATTTTGCTTATGAGACATTAGTGATTTCATACAACTTGCTACAAAAGTTATTATTGATTTACTATAACTAGAAGAAAATATATTTTTTATTCAAAATATTTGTTAAAAGGAGAAGAAAAATTGTCATTCTAATAAATAAGATTGGAAAGTAAAATCTAAAAATATATGGGCTATTTGATTTTTTTCAAGATTTTGAAGTACCTTTTAAAATTTTTCAAAAGTTGAGGGGCTGCGCCCCCTCACCTTGTGAGATCAATTGAAAATTGGAGAGCGTGCCACAAAAGGCAATTCTTGTGCTCTGCTACAATAGAGTTCAAATTCAAAATTCTCACGACACGCGGGAAAACGAAGCGGAAGGAATTTTTAGACTTTTAATTAATACATATTATATTATTAGCTTATGGGAGTGCCATTTTGCAACCTATGGGTTGCCTACCATATACGGACTGCATTTCTATGATTAATGGAGATAGCCCTAATTATTAAAGAATTTTCCCTCCATTAATTAGAAGAATTAGATTACACTTTATTTTGTTTATTATTTTATAGGGTAAAAAGTAAAAATTAAGATGGGCTAGATAGTTAAAATCAAGGTTTTGAAAACCAGACCGGACCGGACGGTCGGACCGGTTGAACCGGTACCAGGTGATCTAAACGGTTTGGTTACACTTTTTGAACCGTTTAAACGGTTAAACCGTTTGAAACCGTTCGAACAGGTGAACCGTTTGAAACCGCTCAAACCGTTCAACCGGACGGTTCAATGTTTGGGCATAAAATCTTGAGAAATTTGTATCCACCGGGATTTGAACTTGCAACCTTGGAGTTTTTGGATTGATCCTTTGCCACCAGGACAATGCAATGGTTTAGTCAATGAGTGCTTGGACTTATATTTAACCCATATAAATCCCAAAGATTTTAACCTTATTACTGATTACAAGCTTGAGGTTCGAACACTTAGTCTCCAGGTTGTAGAACAACGGTTTTTCCACTTGTACACAATGTTCTTTTGTCATTTTAATGCTTTACAATATACTTATTCTACTTTGAAGCACAATTATATTAAAATTCGTTATTGTGGGGGACTTGAACTCCGAATCTCCCTTATAGAAGGTCAGCCATCTACCAGTGCAACCCACCCACACCGTGTGATATCTTTTGCAAAATCATATATTTATAGTATTTCATTGAGCCGGCGGTTTTACCGGTTAAACCGGTTGAACCGTTCAAACCGCGAACCGGAGGTCAAAACGGTTTGACCTCCGGTTCGGGTTTGAAAACATTGGTTAAAATAGAAAATTTTTTTATGAAATTTAATTTAAATATTTTAATAATTTTTTATATATTAATTTATTAAAAATATTTAAATAATTTTATAAAAACTCTTAATACTTTAATTATTAAGATATTTTTATTTTTCACAATATTTTTAATATTATATAGTTCATTAATATACTAATATAAAATGTGATAAAGAGTTTATCCCATTGGTATTGCATATTTTATAAGGAAAATAAAATAGAGGATGAAAATTTAGAATTAATCTATGACTTATATCAGTTTATTAAATTAGTTAATATATAAAATATTATAAATTTTTAAAAAATAAAAAAATTAATTATTAAATAATATAAAATTTACTTTTTAATATTTTAAATAAATTACATTTTTAATATCAAAATTTAATCATAAATTTTAATTTTATTTTTTATTAGGGATTAGTGTTTATTTACCTTATCTCTAAAAAATAAAAAGAAAAATGACAAAAAATAATTTAATTTATCTTTTAAAAATAAGATATTTTAATATTTTTTAATAAATATTTATTAAAATAAAATTTTTGAATAATATTCTTCTTAATTTTTAAAAAGTAAGACAGATAAATATTATTTATTTATTATTA